CATGAACCAATACACGCCACTCGAAATAGTTGAAATTTACATTCAACAGAAGAAGTCAATTGTGAAAACTCAACGTGCTTTTAAAACATTAAAAAATGTGAGAAGTGCGCCTTCTAAGAACACCATTAAGCGTTTATACGAAAAACTTTCGACTGGCAAGGCTCTTTCTAATCCGAAGAGGCCATATAAAAGTCGACCAAGGCGATCGGCCGAGAATATCGCTGCCATACGAACCAGTGTTGAGAGGTCCCCAAGAACATCCCAAAAACGCCGTTCTCAGCAGTTGGACATGGCTCGGTCTACTTTACAACGGATTATTCGCATTGATTTGCATTTGTTCCCGTACAAAATTCAATTGACGCAAAGAATGTTGCCTGCGGACAAGCCTCGTCGATTGGAATGGGCCCAAAGAGTCATGGGTCCGTCGAATATGGGCAACCCTGTATAAAGAATAAAAAGATAAATAATACCATTTGTTTGAAACAAAAGGAAATAAAATTCGTAATAGTAAAAAAACCGAAAAATAGTTTATTAAAAAATGAAATATCAATCGAACATTAACATTGACCTTTTTATACCCTCTATAGAAAACATAAGTTTTAACCCAATTAGTTTTCCTCTAAATCCATAAAAATTTGAAAATTCCGTTATATTGGGGCTATACCTATGTTGATTAATTTTCAAGAGGAGTTAACTACCCATAAGAAAACCAAATTATTAAACTATAGCAAATTTGGTTGAAAATTGGTTGTGAATATACTGAAAGGCAGTTCTACGGTGAATATTTTTCCGAAAAGTTCAACTACGGAAAATAGGCCGATGAATTCATATTTTATGAAAGTCAATAAATGCAGGGTGAGATAAAAAAAAATGCAACCTACTTCAGACTGCTGTCATTTCTAAGCCACTCGTCCGATAGCTGTAAAAATTATCCCAGTGACAGCTATTGTTTAGAAGCGTACAAAAGCATTCTGGTGAGAATTTTCCAGAAATATGGTAGAATTCAAGCGTGATAGTGTGATTTCTTTATATTTGGCTGGAAAACCACAAGTGGCTATCGTTAGAGCACTCCAGCATTTAAATGTGAATAAATCTTTTGTGTCTCGTACCATCGCTCCTTACCGTGATACTGGTAGCGTAGCCCGACGTCAAGGAAGTGGACGGAAAAAAACAAAAACATCAGCAGAAAATGTTCGCAAAAGCAAAGAAGTGACTTGATCGAAACCCGCGTCGCAGTGGCCGAAAATGGCTCGTGAGCTGAACATATCGTAATATTTCATTCGGCAAATATTGAAAAATGAGCTCGAGGTAAAGCCATTGAAATTCGAACAAGTGCAAGAACTTACACCGCAACGAAAAGAAAATAGACACAAAAGAGTTAAAGAGTTGCTTCGCTTGGCCGAAAGTGGTGAACTTGGTTTTCTCCGAAGAGAAAAGTCCAGCAGTTTGTAAACAAACAAAATGATCGTGTTTACTTGCCAAAGAGGTCAGCTGAAAATGTGCACCTTCGGTTGGCCACCAGAACTCAAACGCCTGCCATGGTGATGGTGTGGGCCGCCATAACAACCGATGGTCGCTCTTCGTTCGTCCGCATCAGAATAAATGCCGAATATTATGGCGAAAATATTTTCGAGGGTGTATTAAAGCCATGTTCACGAAAACATTTTGGCCGCCGTCCTTGGACATTTCAACAGGACTCAGCACGCGCCACCCAAGAAAGGTTACAAAATTAGGTTCCTCGCTTCATTTCCAGCGCACAATGGCCTCCAAAATCTCCGGATACCTATCCGTTGGACTATTGTGTCTGGAGTATTTTGGAAAGCAAGGTTGGCACTAAAAAATACCAAAGTGTCGATCACCTCAAGCAAGCGCTTCGCCGGGAATGGGCCAAAAGATCGCAGAGCAACATTTAGGCAGCGTGTCACGGTCTCATTGGCCGTTTGAAGGTTACAATTCGGGCCAAAAGTGACCAATTCGAACAAATCTAAACTTATTCTAAAATTTGATGGTATTTCCGACATTTTTTCGCTTTCATTCAATAAAATTTGAAAAAATTTTAAAAATTATGCCGTTTGACTTTGTTGCAGTTTTTTATCTCACCCTGTATATACATTTTTGATTAGCAAACATTCTATGTCAATATAGTTATGTCTGTCCGTCTGTGAAAATCATTCTAGCTTCGAACTAAATTAAGTAGCTTGAGAACATTTTAAGGGAACATCCTTGCAGAGAATTGTCCATGTAGGTCCAAGTTTTGGTATGAACCCCTTATAACATTTTCTATGTGTTGATAATTGGTTTCACATTTTTCGACGATATTTGGAGTTAGTAACTTGTACTACCTACTATGAGAGAAAATTGCCTACATTCAGTATTTTGATGATTTTAGTGACATTTTTTAATGGGATTATCTAATAGTTGGTATTTGGTATGGACAATTGGGCATTGGAAAATTATCTACATAAACACCAAAGGATATTTGGTATTTCGATAATTTTTGTCAAATTTTGCAACGGAATTGTTTAAAAGTTTGTATTTGTTGTCCGCAATTCTATATATTCTAAAGCAGAAAATGACTTGTACAGGTCCACGTTTTCCCTGCTATAATTAAATAATAAAAAAATAATAATAATTAAATAATCTTAGTATTTTTTTCAAAAGTAATTTTTGAAACTTTGCTGAGCTCTTAAAGAAGATATCTTCTTGTAGAAAATCTGTAAATAACTAAAATTAGGGCTGCACCAAAACGTGGAACAAAATTGAAAATTTGTTGCTGTCAATGTCAAAATTCGTCTAAATTAAATATAAAATCAAGCAAAATAGTGGAAAGTTAATTTCTTGCATAACTCTCACTCTCCGAGTGTTTCCTCTCACGAAAATGTTTCTCTCACGAGTAAAAACGAGCATATATGAGCTATGGAAGAACTACTACTACATTATGGGAGAATATATGGCGACGATTTCCTTAAAAAGGGTATCTTCCTAGAGAAGATTGGTGTACCTTTCATTTTTTTTCCCTGCTATAATAAAATAATAAAAAAATAATAATAATTAAATAATCTTAGTATTTTTTTCAAAAGTAATTCTTGAAACCTTGCTGAGCTCTTAAAGAAGATATCTTCTTGTAGAAAATCTGTAAAGAACTACAATTAGGGCTGCACCAAAACGTGAACCAAAATTGATAATTTGTTGGTGTCAATGTCAAAATTCGTCTAAATTAAATATAAAATCAAGCAAAATAGTGAAAAGTTAATTTCTTGCATAACTCTTACTCTCCGAGTGTTTCCTCTCAGGAAAATGTTTCTCTCACGAGTAAAAACGAGCATATATGAGCTATGTTCTTCCATACTAATACCATAGACAAATTAGGTATAGACTAAAAAGTTGTCTCATCTGTTATCTTCGAAAAAAGTGCTTCAATAGATGTCGTTCATGCTGTAAGAGAGGTTCAGTAGACTCACTCAATTCTCTCAAAATACAAAATATTGAATATTTTTATGATTCTTTATTATTTATCAATTAAAAACGAAACAGTGACTTTGTTTACTTTAACATTATCCAAATATGTAGTGAAATATAAAAATATAGGAATTAAATATCAGAAAAATGAATAAATGGTTTTCGAAGTCGAGTGACTTCACTAGCCCTGAGTGACTTGACTGGCCCAAGATCAATAATAGTGACATCTGCCGGAAGGGGTAAATTTTAAAACTTTTTAGTCTATACCTTAATTTGTCTATGCTAATACATTATGGGAGAATATATGGGAACGATTTGCTTAAAGGGGGTATCTTCCTAGAGAAGATTGGTGTACCTTCCATTTTCTTCTTCTTCTTCTTCTTTTTGTAGAATAATCTACGAAACTTTTAATAAAAATTCTGTAGATCTTTCAATACATGATATTTACATCTTTCCATTAAAGATCGGTCGATTATCCCATTGATGATCTAAGGAAAATCTGAATATATTCTCATAGAAAATGTTGCCATCTTCTTTGTGATAACCTGCAGAACTTGGCCACTGAATTAATAAATTACAAAAATATCATTTTCGAGCGAAGAAAAATAAATCCCCTTTAAACATTGAAATGACAGAAAATATATCATAGCGACAACGAATGATTTACCTTCCATGGCAATAAAAATCTACATCAATCAAATTTTATTTTTATGGCTTCCTTATTTAACATGCCTGGGAGATAATTATATCATCTATTATTGAAAAAATATAATTTATAAAAATTTTCAATAATGAAACAAAGGAGAACCACCCTAGTATATATCAGGCCCACACACACATAAGTGTAGTCTCAGAATGAATGAATAGAACGGCAGACAGACAGACAGACAGAAAGAAAAAACTTAATTACTTTATGAATGCACCTGGATAACAGAGATTCAGTTCGGTTCGCAACGGTTGGTTGGGTACTGACTGGTCCGTTGTCGTTGTTGTTGCTTCTGTATTGTTCATAATTATATTCATTGGATTTTTATCTTTTTGTGTGTACGTATGTATGGGTTTGTTTTATTTTCAACGCTGTTGTCCATTTGTCTGTCTGTCTGTCTGTCTGTCCCCCAGCCAGCCTATCTGGCTTTATCTCTCTCATGGTAATTTATCTTTCATTCTCTCTTCGAGGGGTAAACGATAAACCCGTAGAAAAGTCAAAAGCGTGTCACCACCGCAATACCGCTCAGTTATTAATATTTTGATTAGCGGAGCGCTCGAAATTAGTGGCTCCAAAGCAAATGATTATTGGTTTGATTTGATGGACTGGTGATAAAACGTGTGTCAATATATTTTGTTTATGAATAAAAAAAAAGGAAAGGTTATCGGAAAAATAATAAAAAAAAAAACGTTGATAAAACAAACAAAAATCGGAGCCAATATTGGCTCAATTCACTTCCGCCGAGCTTCCGAAAAAAATAACCAGCCATAGTGTGGGGATAAAAGTGAAATTTAATGGAAAAATATTTATTTACTTTTTTAAATAATTTTAATAGCGGAACTAAAAGTAATAATTAATGATAAAAACAATAAAAATTAACTGTGATAAATAAACAATTTTAAACAATTTGACATTGTGTGCCAACTCAAACAAAAAAAGTGAGGTTATAACCCCCCAACCTATCAACCTTTCAACAACGCCCATGTTTATTTCGTATTTGACTCTGGATGAAAATACCATTGGCCAGGAACTACGCAAATTGCAAAACTCAAAAATGGCCACAACACCAGTTGTAAAAACTAACAACAACAACAATAAAAGCAACACAACCACTGCTGCAATAACAACAACAACAACTGCAGCCATGGCTGCTTTAATTATAACAACAACAAAAACAATGACTAATATGTCGACCCAAACCAGCAGCAGTGATTTCTATGCCAGCAGTATCACCACCATTCGGAGTAAAGAAACTAATAACAACAGCAACAACAACAACAACAGCATTGGCAATAATCACAACTTAAACTCCAAGGAAACCGAGAAAAGCAATAACAATAATCAGGAAAATGGCAGTCGGCAGATTGCAGACAGCAACACCACCACCACCAAAACTACCACAACAACAACAAGTATTTGCATTACCTATTGCAGCAGCAACAGTGATGGCAACTCTAGCAGCAGCAGCAGTAGTAGTAGCAATAGCAACATTAGCAGCAGCAGCGACAGTCATTCCGACATTTACAACTTGGACCATTTGTCGCTGTACATGCAGGATGAAACCGACGAGGATGGCCTCTCCAGCTATGAAGAATCCAGTGACATTGGCGATCATAAAGACCAGCCAAAAAGCCATCTGCAGAGAAGAGAAAATCATCACCACCACCACCACCACCATCGTCATCATCATCACCATCATCATGGCCAGCATATGCATCATCATCTCTATGCAAATCCCGTGGAAAGTTCTGATGACAATGGTAACAATACTTGTGATTCAGTCTTCAGTGACTGTTCGAGACCACCCTCTCCCGTCCCACACTCAGATTCAGAAATTGGCCGCAGCACCCGAACGCCTTCCCCCTCGCCCGCCACCTTGTATGCGACGAATTCAAATGATTTGTTGACGCGACAATTTCGTCGTTCCTCAATTGGCATGCAAAGGAAATCGGCATTTCGCCAAAGGAAATTAGATTCCTTGGGCGCCATGAGACGTCAGCGGTAAGTGATGATGAAAAATAAAAAATTAAAGGAAACTCAATGGTTTGTAAAATTTTTATAGCCTCCACCATGCATAGTACGGAGGGTATATTAAGTTTGCCATTCCGTTTGTAAGTTACTTGATCAGTGTAAAATTCTAGCCCTGTCCATCCTTTCGTCTGTTCGTTGATCACGCTAGAGTCAAAACGAATTCAGATAGGAAGCTAAAATTTTGCACAGATTAATCTTTTGGCTGCAGGCAGGTCAAGTTCGATGATGGGGTACAGCGTTCCCCATATATCAGTAAATCAAGATATTCGATATTTTGATGATTGAAGCCAATGTTTTCAATGAAATTGTCTAAAAATCCACACAAATAGTTGCTTCTGAGTAATTTAGCCCTGGAAGAGAACTGTCTACATAAGTCCACGATATCGTATAGCCCCCATGCAATGGTACCCAATGATTTGATGATTTTGGTCACATTTTTCCACGGATTTGTCCAAAAATTTGCAATTGTAGTTCGTAATGGGTTCCATCTCCGGTGGCGGAACATTCATACCACGTTTTCGTATAGATGCCATATAGGGGTACTTTCCGATATTCGGTGTCCCTTGTACGAAAAGTACTAAATGGCACTAAATTCGGTATTGGGTGAAGGAAGAGGGCGTATTTGTATTAAGATATGAAGGTGGATTTGGAAATTTATTCTATAATTGTACGAAAAGTACTAAATAGTACTACATTTGGTATTGGGTTAATGTATAGAGCTGGAATTCCGAAATATGATACTGAAAGAGTTAGAAAGGACGGTTAATTAACCTCCTTTAAAACAACGTAGCCGTTAAGACCTACCGATAGATACCAATGTCGCCAACTTTAATTTATTTTTTATATCAAAATTTTGGGTTTTAAAGTTACCGATTTTTGTCGGTAACTAAAAAAATGAGCTAGAAAATCCACTACAGGTATCTGGTTGAGGAAAAAAGGGGGAGGTACCAGAAGTGGTGGGCCAATCTGTATCATTCAAAGTATTAGGATATGTGAAATTTGAAGAGAATCGGGGGCTTATATTTATGAGCTATTTGTCATTTGAAATTCCGACACCTTTGTGGGAAGATACTAGAGGGAGTGGTCCGATTTCTACCATGTCCATAACAGGTCTTGTGTTGTAAAACACTAAGATGTGTGAACATTTATGAGAATGAGAGGAATGAATCAATTCTTTTTTAATATATTTTTTTATATTTTTTGAGTGTTTCGGTTTTTCAAAATATTAACCCTTTGTGGGAGAAGTACCAGAAGGAGTAGACTGATATATTCTATCTTTATACCACATCTTTTGTTTATAAAAGTATAAAGTGTACTGATTTTAAATGATATCGGATGGTAATTTCGCGTTTTACGAATTTCATATATATTCCAAATTGTGGCCCGTTTCAAGGGATTTGTATAAAATCCCATGTGTGATTTTCTTAACATGCATTTATGAAAATGACAAAAAAAATTATATATATATATATATATATATATATATATATATATATATATATATATATATATATATATATTCTATATAGGCCTCTGTATCTCTAGATATTCGGTATTTTTATGATTATTGCCACATTTTTCGATACAATTCTTTGAAATTCTCACTGAATGAGCATTTACCATATAGGTCCACGTCTTCGTATAGCCGCTATATAAAGATACCTCTCGATATTCGGAGGATTCGTCAACAAATTGGCATTCGTATAGCCCCCATACGACGGTACCTACCCATATTCGGTGTTTTGATGATTTTAGACACATTTTGCAATGGGTTTGTCTAGAATCCGATATATGAAATTCTTAATAGGTCATATTTGTTATGAAACTCTTTTCACCTAGCCGAAAATTGTCAATATAGGTTCATGTATAACCTCGACACATAAAAAATAAAAATATTTTACAAAATTATTATACGTTGAAATCTACCGTAGATCCTAAAGTCTAAATTTAAATCTCGCCGAAATGCTAGGAATGCATGATAACACTGTGCGACAAAATGCAAATTTTTTCAATAATTACAGGAAAACCTCAGTAGATTATGAATAGAAGAAAACCTCAGTAGATTATGAATAAAAGCTTACCCAAAAAAGGTTATCCTTCTCTACTATTTTTGAATAAGGATTCCTTTGAATTCATACATTTTGGGTACATAGGCTTATTTTTAGGTACGAGAAATTCTCACAAATAGTAGCAGGTTACAGTTATAAAGGTTCTTAAGGATATTTGTTAAAAATATGCAATGATTCATAAGGGTACATAGGATTATTTTTAGGTACGAGAAATTCTCACAAATAGTACCAGGTTACAGTTATAAAGGTCCTTAAGGATATTTGTTAAAAATATGCAATGATTCATACGATCAAGTCCGGATTACAACTCTGACTGTTTTGAAATCATTTTAAAGAATTCCAGGATAACAGCTCGTCCTTAAAAATTATAAAAAAAAACAAATATTCCATAAGCAGATACAGAATTATCGCTGTAAAAGTCCCTGAGCGATAAGGGCTTAAAGAATCCTTTCAATTTCTAAGCCACTCGTCCGACAGCTGTTAAAAGTATTCCAGTGACAGCTCATTATATTGTTTACAAGCGAGAAAAAAACTTATTCGTGATGGAATTCAAGCGTGATAGTGTGTTCTTTATATTTGGCTGGAAAACCACAAGTGGCTATCGTTAAAGCACTTCAGCATGTAAATAAGTATAAATCTTTTGTGTCCAGTCGTTTGTAAACATACAAACTTATGGTGTTTACTTGCCAAAGAGGTCAGCTGAAAATGTGCACGTTCGGTTGGCCAACAGAACTCAAGCCCCGGCCATGGTGATGGTGTGGGCCGCCAAAACAGCCGATGGTCGCTCTCCGCTCGTATTAATCGACCGTGGGATCAGAATAAGTGCCAAATGTTATCGCGAAAATATTCTGGAGGGTGTATTAAAGCCGTGGGCACACAAACATTTTGACCGCAGACCTTGGACATTCCAACACGACTCAGCACTATCGCACTCAGCACGCGCTACCCTTGAATGGTTAAAAAATGTGGTTCCTCGCCTCAATTCTTGAGCACAATGGCCACCAAAATCTCCGGATACCAATCCATTGGATTATTGTGTCTGGAGTATTTTGGAAAGCAAGGTTGGCAGTAAAAAATACAAAAGTGTCGATCACCTCAAGTAAGCGCTTCGCCGGGAATGGGCCAACATACCGTAGAGCAAAATTCGGACAGCGTGTGACGCTTTCATTGGCCGTTTGAGAGCCATATTTCGTGCCAAAGGTGACCAATTCGAACAAATATAAACTTATTCTAAAATTTGATGCTATTTCCGACATTTTTTGCTTTCATTCGATAAAATTTTTAAAAAAGTTTAAAAAATATAACGTTGTATTTTGTTGCAATTTTTTATCTCACCCTGTATTTGAATATATTTGAATTTTTAAAATTATCCTTTAAAATGATTATTTAAAAGAAAAATAAAAAATTCATTGTTTTCCGAATGGTGGACGATATCAAAAGTTCGGCCCATCGTTTTTTTACTTGTTTAAAATGAGGTTTATTTTTTAACATTGTGCGACAACATTTTAATCCTAAAGAGAGTCATCACAGGGCGTTTTGGGTTTTTGCTCAAAAAAAAAAATAAAAAACAAGTAAGCAAAGGCAACAGCCGAGCGGGGCCGACCGTTGAATACCCTACAACACTATAATAAACGATACAGTTTATATAGGCGAGATACTCGAAAGAATTCCACAAGATATTGTGACAAATAATAAAAGAAAACCAGGTTTCGTTCTCTAATTTTCGAATAATAGCAACTTAAACTAATTTAAATGGTCTTCCTAGATCTGGAATCAATATTTCCCAAAGACCTATAATCTCTCAGAAGTGGCAAAAGATTAACATTTATTATTGGTTTTTGACTGAAACTCATCTATATGAGAACAGCCATTTGACTATGTTCTTCAACGAAATCTGCGTTAACGAAATATTCAGAACTGCGTCTTTCCTGTATTTGTGAATTCTCCAAAAAGTCACTGGAATGGACAATTTCGTATTTTGTCTACAAAACATTGAATATTTTCGGATGGCCATCCAAAACTGCTTGGCTTTTGCAATGTCCGGTAACCCCCATTCAGATGTGCGCGAGGATCGGGCGACAAATACGACCTGCTGACAATTTTGCAGCTTTTTGGTCCATTTCAACCCCTAAATATATGGCGATCATCTCCAAAAAGAGTAGGCTTCTATTCTGACCCTCATCTTATCCCCATGCAAAATTTCGTAAGGATCGGGCCATAAATGCGATCTGTATATGATATCCTGATATCCTAACTACTTAGTTTTGTTAGCTGTAGAAATATTACCAAATGTTTAATTCAAAATGAAAATATGCCAAAAATATGACAAAATTGAAAAAAATATGAGAAAATTTAAAAAAATCAATATTTTCATCGTCATAGAGATATTTTTATGCGATTTTTTAGAGGTTTTTTCTTTCCTGCCAAGAGGCCATTCTGAATTAATGAGAACTGTCGAAATCAGTTCAGCCGTTCTCGACATATAAGAGATCTTTCAAGCATATCTTCTTTGATAGACACATATATCGCACATATTTTGCTATATATCCGATTTGTTGGATGTTAACATCAATGTAAAGATCTGAAGGAACCTTGTCATGGCTTTGTGATTTAGCCGGAATTTAAAATATTCACGGTTTAATGAAAAATTTTGAATTTTTTCAATACAAAAGATATGGTCTATTTTACCCGCTAAATATTATCCGATGACCACCCAAATTGGTAGGCTTCTTCCCCGCCCTAAACTCTAGCTACATGCGAAATTCCGCTTCGATTGGTCTATAATTGCGACCTGTATAGCTACTGCAAAATTCGACATATTTTCAGTATTTGGTCCATTTCAACCCCTAAATATTATGCGATCATCTCTAAAAGAAATAGGGTTCTATTCTGACCTAAGCTCCACCTCCATTCTAAATTTCGTGAAGATCGGGCCATAATTGCGACCTGTAGAGTGATTACAAATTAACATGGACAGACGGACAGACGGACGGACGGACATACATAGCTAGATCGACTCAGCTCGGCGAGCTAGGAAGATCCATATATACTTTCCTATATGGGAAACCAATATTTCGAGGTGTTACATAAATTCTGGCCCAATCAAACTTATAATACAACACATAGTGTTGTAGGGTATAATAAAAAAATGTTTAGAAACTTAATATCAATAGGCACTTAACAATTCAAAGCATTTTACAAAATTATTTTATGTAGAAATTTAATAAATCTTATAACAAAGTAACCCAAAAAAGGTATCCCTTTTCTACATTTTTTTTAAATTGTGGATTAGGATTCCTTTAAATTTTTACATTTAGGTACATTTTAGGTGTTCGGCAATACCAATGATAACAACACGAGAATTATTTTGTTAAAAAATCTAAAATCATTGGGAATATAATTCATGCACTGATCCCTAAGATAAAGTGCGGATTACAGCTCTGACTGTAGTAATCCAAATAATTGTAAAGAACTGCAGTATGACAGCTCTTATAATCCTTAAAAATTATTAAAAAAAAAAAAAAAAAAACAAAATCAGCAGCTATGAAATTCCTTGAAATATGTTCCAAATCCACAATTATCACTGTAAAAGTCCATGGACGACAAGAGCTGAGGGAATCCTTTGAAAATTATTTGAAATTATGCAATTACAGCTCTGAAAATCCATAAAAAATAAAATACGCGATTAAAGGCCTGAAAGCCTTATAAAAGTATTCCTCGAGCATCTCCTCATTCTCAATGTCTTTAAAACGTCCTTTAAAAATTTTACGAGAGCAGCTCTGAAAGTGCTTGAAAAATATTCAAGTCCATAAAAATACTCTTCCAAAAGAGCCATTTAAAAATGCTTAAGGAGTGCCAAATTACAGCAATAAAGAGAATACTTTTTAAAAAACATGCGGTGATTACTACAAATGTCCTTAATAGATTTCTTTGAAAAATCTCAAATTTCATGTCTGAAAATATTTATAGAAGTCTGAATTTACATTCTTATTATGTAGAAACACATCTTGGAAAATTTTCCAACAAAATTCACAATTACAGCTCTAAAAGTCCTTCAAAAAAATTTTTAACGATTAATATTTTTGGTTGGGGATTTTTCAAATATTTAAAAATTAATACTCATCTTTAAAAATAATCTTCGAAAAATGCTCTTAGAGCCTTTCAAAAATATTATTTCAAATGCTCAAACCTAATAAACGTAATTTTTTTATCAAAACTATCTCCATTCGTTCTGGATTTAATCAGACAATACAATAATTTATACAGCAACACATGTTGCTTTTTGAACAAAATAAAATATTTGATTTGTTTTTCACACATCATCACATTGCTGAAATAAACACTTTTAAAAATATGTCAAAAGTCTCCCGGTTTTACTTGCCATATATCTAAAGGACTTTTAAGCCCGTTCAATAAACATACAAGTGAAATTGTATGTAAAAATATTCAAATTTCCACAATAGAATATGCGAATATTAGATTGTACCGAAAAGAAAGACTTTGAAAATTTTTAAGAAATTATGGATAACAGCTTTGTTCAGAATTTACATTATTTCCTTTATGTGAAATTTGTATAAAGAAGTAGGTATATAATTGAATATGGCTTATTTGAGAAAAACTGATAAATTTTGGATTTTAAAATTGAAAAATATATTCAATATTCAATATTCCACACTAGTGCCAGTGTTTCAAACCAATTCTTTTATATTCCTGCTTGATATTCTGCCATCCGTTTAAATCCGTCCGTTTAAATTCCCCGCCTAAAATCAATCTTGTACTTCTTCTAAACTTACAAAATCAATGTGATATTCAGTTGTCCCGGTACACCCTATGCTTCGTAACAAACCACAACGTTATATATGTAAATGTGTATTTATAACCCCCTCGGTTTTTTGCATTCAATGCTTATCTGCCTACATGGATAAGCGGATAAGTTTGATTTTTTTTCTTCTTGGAAATCGTTACAACGCTGTCCTTTTCATGCCATTGTGGTTTTTGCAAACAAAAACTATATTTTTTTACATTTTATGTGTTGTAATCCGATTTATTTACTTTGGCCCTTAATGGTGTGAGGGAGAAGTGGGGGTGAGAAAACCGTGTGTTGTATTTTGTGTTATTTATAAATCACTTAAATATGCAACAAAATCTAAGTGTAGGTTTCATATTCTCTCGAAAAATATTAAAAAAAAAAAAAAAAACAAATTACATTTTTTTGGATTTTAAAGTTGCTTATGATATTAACATCAAGCCAATGTATATTACAAAAACTTCGTAAATAAAAGGAGGAACTTTAGTTTGAAAAACAATAACAGATGCTCAAATTGTTAAAATTAACAGTTTTGATAGAATCCGAAACATATTTCTGAGGATAATCTTTAAATGTGCAAAAAATGTAAATAATTATTTTCAAAATTAAATTTCTTCAATTGACAATTTTTTTCCTACAATTTTTTTTTTGTAAAATTATTAGCGTATTAATTAATATTGTTATCTTATTATTATTATATATATACATTGTTATCTTTAAAGCAATATGTGTCTTATTTGTACTTTTTATACTTATACGCCAGGATATTAAAATACAATACATAAAACATATTTCAATTCAAATATAATTTTGAAAATGTTTTTTTAGCAAACAATAACTTGTAGAATAAGCTTTTGAATATTTTTTTTCTAAAATAAAAAAAATACTAAAATATTTCTCGTTTTTATTTCCTTATTGCAGACGGACTGGTCCATCGTTGGGAACTCGGAGACCCATACGAATTGTACCCGATTGGACGGAAAATGCCATACAAGGCGAACATTATTGGAAACCAACATCGGTATCGGGTGATTTATGCTGCCTCAATGAAGAATGCATTGTAAGTACACGAAAAGATTCTTGACAAATTGTAGGTTGCAGCGGAGAGTTATTTAAACATTTTTCTTAAAAAATCTGGATTAAAGATAGTCCTTAGTATATATTTTTCAATTCCAGAGTTATAGCATTGATAGTCCTTAAGGAAATCTGGATTGCAGATCATATCTGAGAGTCCTTAAATAACGAAATTCAGGATTACAGTTCTGAAGGACCTTAAAAACTTTAAGGTCACCCAGGATAACAGCTCTGATTACAAACTATTTAAAATAATCTATGATTACTATTCTGAAACTCCCTGAAAATGGTCTTCTAAAAAGCCGTAGTTGCAGCTCTGCAAGTATTCTTGGAACCTCCAAAATTCTGGATCACAGCTATAAATCATTAAAAAGCCGGCCTTTACATAAAATTTCAAAGAATCTCAGAGAACCTAAAAATTAATTATTGCAGCTTTAAAATTCTTTAAAAAGATTTTCTCAGGCAAATCAAATATTACCACTCTAAAAGTTCCTGGACGAAAATGGCTCAGAGATTCCTTAAAAATATTATTTTTAAGTCCACGATTAAAGCTTTAAAAATCAATTCCTTAAAATTATTCCTTAAATAATTCGATCTAAACGTCCTAGGAAATCTGAACAAAAAGAAAAATATGAGATCGATGCTCAGAAAGTCCTTAAGAATTTCAGGTCTGAAAGTTTTTAAAAAAATATTCTTGATAAAGTCCACGGGAACAGTCCTCAAAGTCTTGAAAATTATTAAAAAACAACTGGTATTCGAAGCTGCACTCTTGATAATATTATTACATACCTAATTGTCCTTGCAAAACAAATTTGGAATAATTTCAACAGCTGTCGGATGAGAGCAGTCTGAAGTTGTTTGCAGTTTTATCATCTCACCCAGTATTTGGGCTGGTATTATACGTTTGGTGCCCAATAAATGGCAAATCGGACGAACTTATATATGAGAGCTATATCTAAATTTTGACCGATTTGCTTCAATTTCAATAGGGTTCGTCCTTGGGTCAAACAAACGTTTTGTGGAAAATTTTATCTCCATCGGGCAATAAATGCGACCGGTACTCTTTTATTGGTGCACAATAAAAGCAAATCGGACGAACTTATATATGAGAGCTATATCTAAATTTTGACCGATTATCTTCAATTTCAATAGGGTTCGTCCTTGGGTCAAACAAACGATTTGTGCAAAATTGTATCTCCATCGGGCAATAAATGCGACCCGTACTCTGTTTACAAAAATACATGATACATGAGACGGATGGACGCACGGACATGCATAAATCAACTCAGAATGTTATTCTATGCAGATCATCAAAAGGAACTCTGGGCCTTTCTCGTTTCCTTTTGCCTGTCACAAACAAACTCACAAAGACATAATACCCTGACCACTTTGTGATGTAGGGTATAAATAGACTCAAAAGGGCTAAAGGGTTGCTTCGCTTGGCCGAAAGTGGTGAACTTGCTAAAGAGGTCAGGTGAAAATGTGCACCTTCGGTTGGTCACCAGAACTCAAGCGCCGGCCATGGTGATGGTGTGGACCGCCATAACAGCCGATGGTCACTCTCAGCTCGTATTAATCGAACGTGGCATCAGAATGAGCCCGAAATTATAGCGAAAATATTGTGGATGGTGTATTAAACCTTGGGCAGCCAAACATTTTGGCCGCAGACCTTGAACATTTCAACAGAACTCAGCACCATCACACTCAGCACGCGCCACCCAAGAATAGTTACAAAATGAGATTCCTCGCTTCATTTCCAGCGCACAATGGCCACCAATCCGTTGGACTATTGTGTCTGGAGTATTTTGGAATACAAGGTTGGCACTAAAAAATTCCAAAGTGTCGATCACCTCAAGTAAGCGCATCGCCGGGAATGGGTCAAAATACCGCCGAGCAACATTCGGGTAGCGTGTGACGGTTTCATTGACCGTTTAAAGGCCATAATTCGTGTCAAAGGTGGCCAATTCGAACAAATCTAAACTTATTCTAATATTTGATGCTATTTCCGACATTTTTTGCTTTCGTTCGATAAAATTTAAAAAAAAATAATAAAAATTATGGCGTTTGACTTTGTTGCAGTTTTTTATCTCATCTTGTATGGAATAACACAGAAAATCCATGATATTAGTTTATGAACAAAAAATTCGAAAATAGTAAAAATATTTTTGATGATAGTTCGGCTGAAGGTCAGTAAAACAATTTTATTTAGTTATCTCCTTTTTTCTTTTTATTATATCCAATATTTCGATTGTCATCGACAATCATCTTCATTGATCTGTTACAAATAACACAGATTAATAAGACAAATTACACAACACACAATTCTTACATTAACTTTGATTTAGAGGAAAACGTCTCCTTTTATTTAACGTCAAATTCGAACTAAGTCTAAAAATTAATAGATGGAAATGAAGATCGAATTCTTCAGTGGCCACGGAAGCGATATTGGTGATATTAAACATTTTTTTTGTTCTTTCTTTCCGAGAGGGAAAAATTCCGTATTGAATTCGGAGAAATAATAAATATGATTCCCATTGGTATTGTAGTAATTATGAATATGCTTTTACTTTCAAATTATTAGAATGCAATTGTTTATAATCTAAATGATCTAAATTCTGAAAAAGTAATTAAATTTGACCATGTTAATGCCTCATTAACCCCCATGGTTATTACAAGGTATATTTAAAAATTCCATAAAATCTAAATATAACAATTAACGAGTACTACTTGATGCTAAATTTATGAAAATCAATAAAGCTAATTTTAAAATTTCGTGGCCTAATAAAAATCCAATATTTAGTTAGGAAATGTAAACAAATGCTAAAATAATTTTTATGGTCTCTCTGGGGTATGATTAACATAAATAATTACGCATTGCGTGCGTATACTTGTTGTAATATTGCAAATAGGTGGCGAATGATGAATAATATGAGCATTGCAAATATAATATAATATCAAGAGTAAATATCAGCACAAATCGGTTTAACCTTTACTTATGGATTTCTCAAGGTGTAATTAAGAAGATCACCGATATAACCATATTTTTTGACCTTATTAATCATCCATGAAAATTAAAATCTTGTGTTTCCAGCAATCCATTAAAATTCAAAAAAAAAAATATAGGCAAACATTTTTCATAATTCTTAAGAATTTAATTATTCAATATTTACTGTAAAATTATACAATTTTGAGGAAATGCCCACCTCTTTCATCCAATGAATATTCTTTGTCTATTTCTATTCCCAAAACTTGGTAATAATTAAATCCTTTCGCAAATCAACCAAAAGAATGTCACCTCGTCAATGTTCAAATGTAATCAAAATATTCATTAAATTCTTAAAATATATTTTCCCCTTTTGCCAGACAGCGAGGCATTCCTCCGGATAATAAGCATTTCGTCTGCAATCCAATTTTTGTGTTGGGATTTTTTTAATTTGTTGATTGATTGATTTCGTTTGTCATCTGTCTGGCGGCATCCAAATTGCGATGAGTAATTGTTGTTTTTCTTTTGTTTTTCCTCAAGATCAACAATATCAATTAACAGACATTATTTTTTTCTTTTTTAAATATTTATTAATATAAATGACTTCTTAAAAATATTTACAAAATGAAAATATTGAAAATTAATAAACGCGGACAAACAGTCTGACAAGTTCACAGACCACTTTTTGTTGGCGATAAGTGATTCGGAAATAAATATTGAAAAAAATTATATGTTTTTAAATGCTCTTAGGAATTCTTTAATGGGCTCATTATGTTTTTGGCATCCGTTTTTCTTAAATGCACCCAAATCTTAGAGATCTCCTTTAAGTCGCCTTAAGACCCGATGCGAAAAACTTAGAGCACAATTCCATAAAAAACAGTGCTCAATTTCTGAAAAAAAAAAATTATGTAAGAAAACGTCTTTCCCCAATATCAGAAGAATTTTCCACAGTACAAACTAAACACAATGACTTATGTATGCATATACAGGGTGAGATAAAAAAACGGCAACAAAGTCAAACGCCATAATTTTTAAATTTGGGTCAAGAGGTCCATGAAAAAAATGTCCATCGAAAACCCCAAAAAAATGTTCTAAAGAAAACAATAATTTTTGGCCAAATAGTCCATAAAAAATATTCATTCAAAATTTAGAGTTCTGCTTAGAAAAATCTTAAAAAAAAAAACTTTTTGTGTGGAGGTCCATAAAAATATTTGTTAGAGAAAATATATATAGGATGAGATAAAAAAACTGCAACAAAGTCAAACGCCATAATTTTACATTTGTTTTTAAATGTTATTGAATGAAAGCAATAAATGTCGGAAATAGCATCAAATTTTACAATAAGTTTAGAATTATAGCTTTCAAACGGCCAATGAAGCCGTCACACGCTGCCCGAACGTTTCTCTGTGGTATTTTGGCCCATTCCCGGCGAAGCGCTTGCTTGAGGTGATCGACACATTGGTATTTTTTAGTGCCAAACTTGCTTTTCAAAATACCCCAGACACAATAGTCCAATGGATTGGTATCCGGAAATGGAAATGAAGCGAGTAACCTTTTTTTGTAACCATTCTTGGGTTGCGCGTGCTGAGTGCGATGGTGTTGAGTTCTGTTGAAATGTCCAAGGTCTGCGGCCTAAATGTTTGTGTGCCCAAGGCTTTAACACACCCTCCAGAATATTTTCTCGATAATATTCGGCATTTATTCTGATACCATGGTCGATTAATACCAGCGGAGAGCGATAATCGGCTGTTATGGTGGCCCACACCATCACCATGGCCGGCGCTTGAGTTCTGGTGGCCAACCGAAGGTGCACATTTTCAGCTGACCTCTTTGGCAAGTAAACACGATCATTTTGTTTGTTTACAAGCTGTTGGACAACGAATGTTTTCTCATCGGAGAAAACCAATTTCGGCTGCTTAGCACTTTCGGCCAAGCGAAGCAACTCTTTAGCTCTTTTGAGTCTATTTTCTTTCAGTTGCGGTGTAAGTTCTTCTTACACTTTTTGGTATTTCAATGGCTTTATCCCGAGCTCATTTTCAATATTTGCCAAATGCAATATTGCGATATGTTCAGCTCACGAGCAACTTTTCGGTCACTGCCACGCAGGTTTCGATCAAGTCGCTTTTTTACTTTTCGAAGCATTTCTGCTGATGTTGCTGTTTTCTTCCGTCCACTTTCTTGAATTCGGGCTACGCTTCCAGTATCACGGTAACGGGCGATGGTACGGGACACAAAAGATTTATTCCCATTAAAATGCTGGAGTTCTCTAACGATAGCCACTTGTGGTTTACCAGCCAAAGAAATTACACTATCACGCTTGAATTCCATCACCAATAACTTTTTTTCTGGAAAATTCTCACCAAAATGCTTTTGTACGCTTGTAAACAATATAATGAGCTGTCACTGGTATAATTTTAACAGCTGTCGGAGAAGTGGCTTAGAAATGACAGAAGTCTGAAATTGGTTGCAATTTTTTCATCTCACCATGTATATTCAAAGAAACTTTACCAACAAATAACAAGTAAAAAAGCTGTAAGTTCGGCCGGGACGAACTTTTAATACCCTCCACCATTTGGTACAAATTTGGCAATTTCCAAAAAATAAAACCCGTTAAAAATTCTGTTAAAATCTTAAAAACACCGAATGCTTATAGGACGACGTGGGCCTGCATAGGCAACTTTTCTCATAAATTATTACAATATTTAAATGCGAAACTTGAAGAAAAATCTGTTTTTAATGTAGCTAAAATCGTCAAAATTCCGAATATGGGGGGTACCGTTATATTGGGGCTATACGAAGACGTGGACCTGCACAGACAAATTTCTGACATGGGCTGAAGTATCTATTACGAACTTCACATACGAAATTTGAAACAATCCCTGTAAATAACGTCGCTAAAATCATTAAAATACCGAATATCGGGGGGTACCGTTATATGGGGGCTATATGAAGACGTGGACCTACATGGCTCATTCTTTGACTTTGGATGAAGTATCCATTACGAACTTCAAATACCAAATTTGAAACGATTCCGGTAAACAATGTCGCTAAAATCATCAAAATACCGAATATCGGGAGGTTAAGTTATATGGGGGCTATATGATAACTTGGACCTACATGGCCCATTTACGAACTTAACTTGCCTACTAGGAAAAAATGCATGTGTGCAAAATTTTAGCCTTCTATCTCAATTTGTTCGAAAGATAGCGTGATTACAACAGACAGACAGACGGACAGGGCTAAATCGTCTTAGAATATTACGCTGATCAAGAATATATATACTTTGTTGGGTCTGACATGAATATTTCGAGGAGTTACAAACGGAATGACAAAATTAATATACCCTCCATAGTATGGTGGAGGGCATAAAAACACCATTTAAAGAGAGAAAGAGAGAGACATATGTGTAATTTTTTTTTAAATTCCAATTTTTTTAAAATTCCGAAAGTCCTTTGGGAAAAAAAATTTCACGATTTTTAATTAAGAGGCTGTTGAAATTTTTTCTTAAAAAATCCAAAATTTTCGGTCAACAGAAGAGGATAATTTTCTTAAAAAATCCATAATTTTTGCGCAAAAGTCCTTAAACATACATGAAATTTTAATCAGGAGATCCATAACAATTTTTTTTTTTTTTTAAATTCAAGACTTTTGTCTAGAAAGTCGTTGGAAAAAATCTCTTAATTTTCACAATATTTAATCAAAAGGTCCTCGGAAAATAAAAAAAGAAAAAGATTCCTGATTTCCCGTCAGAGATTCTTAAGAAAATTTTCTTTAAAATCCATAATTATTGTGCGAAAGTCCTTGATTTTGTTTACATAATACATCCTGGAAATAATATTCTTAGTTATGATGTAAGATTCATGAAAATACTTTATTTATAAATTCTCAAAAAGTCCACGATTTTGGGTCAAAAGGTCCTATAAATACATTTTTTTTAAATTACGAAGTTTAGATTAGATGCTTCAGAATTTTCCTTTAACAATTTATGCGGAAAGTCCTTACAATAATTTTTTTTAAAAAATCTTCGAACTTTCATCAAGACTTTCATGAAATTTATTTTTCTTTAAAGTTATGTTCTGTAAGACCTTAAAAATTATTCTTATTTTGATAAAAAGAAACCATTGACATTTTTTCTTAAATTTGCAAAATATTGAAAAAATAGAAAAAATTTGTGAAATATGATGATATATGAAAAACTATTCTGAAAAAATTCAAATTCAATTAAAAAATCCAACTTTTCTGGATTCAAGATTTCAAGAGGTTCTCGCAAAAATAGTCCTAAAAAAGTAAGCTACGTCCTTTTAAAGAAAAATTCACAAATTTTAGTCTGAAGGTATATAAAAAATATATTCTTAAAAAATCCATGAAGATCATCTAGAATGTCTATATTTAAAAAACGGGATTTCGTCATATTCTCTACAAAAAGTCACATTTCAGTCTTGAAAAATGTTCCTCAAAATATCCAAAAATTGTTTTAAGAAGATCCGTAAAAAGGATTTTCGTGAGAGTTTCCTTAGAATTTCCACGACTTTTGAAAGAGAAGTCTTTAATTATTGAAAAAAATAGTTTTTTCTGAAAATTCATTGAGACATATTTATAAAAAAATCCTCAATTTCTTTGTATCAGGAGGTTCTTGACATGTTTTGCAGGTTCTTAAAAATATTTCAAGAAATCAAAATTTTCTCGTATTTTGGCAAAGAAGTCCAGGATGTTTGAAAATTGTCTCTAAAAAAACCACGATTGAAAAAAAAAATTGTTAGGAAGTGCACGTTTTCTCGTTAGTTGGTCCATAAAATGCTTTGTTTAAAAATCCGCGAAGTTTGTATCAAATGTTCTAGTTAAAAATTTGGCAAAATCTACGATCTTTTTTATTTTATTTTATTTATTTATTTATTTATTTTTTTTTTTTTTTTTTTTTTGAAATAAAAAACCTTTCTAAGGAAAGCTAATATTAATCTGGAACTTCATAAATCCATTTCCATAAAAATCCTAGATTTTTGTCTGAAAAATCATTAAAACAAATCCCAGCAAATTTCTCGATTTTGTATCAAAATCCATGATCTTTTCCGAATAGGCCGTGTTTCTTTAAAAAACATCATGCTTAAATCATACGATTTTTTCTAGGTAGTCTTTTAAAATACATCTGTACCAAAGTTCACGGATATTCTTTTCGACTTTTGTGAGATTCAGAATTTTCAATGGGCTTTCCTTAATTTTTTTCAATGGGCTTTTCTTAAACTATGAAAGGAGTTCCAAATTCGGACCAGATTCCATACATCGTAATATATCTATATCATACCACTTTTTCATAAAACTCCCGAACACAGTGTAAAAATTGCCAACTTTAGTTTACTTTTCAATGTCGACTTTGTCCAGTCAGTCTTTCCCAAATCTCAACTCTCAAAAGCAACGACAGTGTCCGAATAGATCGAGTTTAACCTATCCTAATACTCCTATACATTTGGTTCATCTCTAACACACCCCCAACTTTCGTCACTTCGTCTCCTGTGAATTTTGATATAATTTGGTGGGAATTTTTAAATTTGAAATGAGAGCATTTAAAAAAAAAAAAAAAAAAAACTTTTTCAAAAATGTCGAAAATAATTCAAAACTAATGAAAATTATAAAATTCTTATTAATTTTCGGATGGGGTTCGGAAACATGATTTTTTTCTACATGTTCTTACACAGGACAATGGACAATATACCTAAATAGTATTTTTATTTTCCCAATAAATTAGCTATTATACTATTTGACTTGACCGATGAAGTACCATCAACCGAACATATACCTTATTAATGATTGTTATTTTTTATTTCCTTTTCAGAAAAGTGGACAACGCATGAAATGCTCGGCATGCCAATTAATTGCGCATCAAAACTGCATTCCATATGTTAATGAAAAGACTCAATTAGCTTGTAAGCCAACGTATCGGGATGTCGGTGTACGGCAATACAGGGAACAATCGGTGACCCATCATCACTGGGTGCATCGCAAAATGGAAAAGGGCAAATGTAAACAGTGTGGAAAGGTAAGTGATTTCAATAGGCACTCGTTATTAATTTAGAAAATAATTGGGATAATAATGATGAATACATTTCAAGTCAAATCATTTTCTCTGAAATACTTAGGGAGGAAATTATTTTTCCAGTCAAATTCAACAGAAAATTTACGGAAATTGTGTTCATCAATTTTCAATAAAACTGGCATTCTCCAATGGATAATTAATGTTTTCTTGAACCTAAACATAAGAAAGGACCTTTCTATAGCATCATAAATGTTCATTGAGTTCATAATATTTATATTTTTAATTTTTCTTTCATTTTTGTTATGCCAAAATTTTCTCTTGAAAAGAATCCGACAATATATTTAAATTATGTATTTTTGTTTAAAAGCTTTGTTTTATGCCGAAAACTTATTTTCCGAATTGAACTGATAGTCGAGAAATGTATCAAATATGTATGTTTTTATACCCTGGTGAGAATCTTTTCAAATTTAGATATAGCTCCCATACATATCTTCAAGCGATTTCGGCTTAATTGTGCACCAAATAGCCAATATCAGCCCAAATGACCTGCATTTTGGCACATCCTACCGAATTCAGTCTAGAAGCAAGTACATACAATTGGTTCAGATATAGCTATAGCTCCTATATGTATATTCTTCATCCGATTTGGGGTTTTAAGGCACTCACATTCGTGATATGCACAAAAATGATATTTGGGACCAGATAACTTATGGAGCTCAAAAATACCTCTGTCAAATTTTATCGAGATCGCATCAGAACAAGTACTTCAAATTTGGTGAAAATCGGTTCAGTTATAGCTATAGCTTTCATATATACAGGGTGCGATAAAAAACTGCAACAAAGTCAAACGCCTTAATTTTTGCATTTTTTTTAATTTAATTGAATGAAAGCAAAAAATGTCGGCAATAGCTCCAAATTTTAGAATAAGTTTAGATTTGTTCGAATTGGTCATCTTTGGCACGAATTAGCCTTCAAACGGCTAATGAAACCGTCACGCACTGTCTGAATGTCGCCCTGCGGTATTTTGGCACATTCCGAGCGAAGCGCTTGCTTGAGGTGATCGACACTTTGGTATTTGTTAGTGCCAACCTTGCTTTCCAAAATACTCCAGATACAATAGTCCAACGGATTGGTATCCGGAGATTTTGGTGGCCATTGTGCTCTGGATATGAGGAGCTGAACCTCATTTTATAACCATTTTTGGATGGCGCGTGCTGAGTCCTGTTGGAATATCAAAGGTTTGTTTACAAACTGCTGGACAATGAATGTTTTTCATCAGAGAAACCCAAATTCGGCAGTTCACCACTTTCGGCCAAGCGAAGCAACTCTTTAGCACGTTTGAGTCTATTTTCTTTCTGTTGCGGTGTAAGTTCTTGGACTTTTTAGAATTTCAATGGGTTTACCCCGAGCTCATTATTAGCCGAATGGAATATTGCGATATGTTCAGCTCACGAGCCATTTTTCGGACACTGCGACGCTGGTTTCGATCAAGTCGCTTCTTTGTTTTTCGAACCATTTCTGCTGACGTTGCTGTTTTCTTCCGCCCACTTCCTTAACATCGGGTTACGCTACCAGTAACGGGCGATGGTACGAGACTCAAAAATTTATTCACATTTAAATGCTGGAGTGCTCTCACGATAGCCACTTGTCGATTTCCAGCCCAATTTAAAGAAATCGCGCTTAAATTCCATCACGAATAACTTTTTTTCTATTTTTCAACGAAAAATTAATGTTTTCTTGAACCTAAACATAAGGAAGGACGTTTCTATAGCATCATAAATGTTACATAGAGTCCATAATATATATTTAATTTTTGTTTCGAAAAATTCCCATTCTGTTGAAAAGTATCTGACAATGTATTTAAATGACGTATTTTTTTCTTTGAAAAAAAAAATAGATTTCCTGCGAAGACTGATTTTCCCAATTGCTCTGATATTCCAGCAATGTATCTAAGTGACGTTTTTCGCTCGAAAATTTGTACTAATAACTAGGAATTGACTTTTCTGGGAAAAATCCAATACTGATTATAATTTCTTTTAAAGAAAACGAATAATTTGTATTTTTAAATACAATTTTTATCGAAATCTACTTCCGTACCGAATTCCTTCCCCTCCAAAAAAACACAAATAAAATATCATCAAAAAAAATTACATCATTTATATTATATGGCCCATGAGGGGATCGAACCCGCGACCTTCGCGTTATTAGCACGACGCTCTAACCAACTGAGCTAATGGGCCACACACAAGCACACGTACCCAAAACGAACATATACAACCACCTTGCTCTATGTCGCATGCATGTGCTAACAATAGTCGAGACACACACCGGCCAAACCTACCTCACATCAAATGTTACGTTGGGTTATTTTTCCCCATTCGGCATTTTTTTTTTCTATTTTTATTCACAAACACACACACACACATTTTATATCACTACTTCGCAGCTACCTGGCGAGTCTTGAACATATGTGTGAATGGTGTGTGAACAGAGTGTCCGGCGAACATGCCGGTCAGACAAAAGTGTTAACTAAAAATAACACTTTCGTTTCTTAGAGGAGGAAAGGGGATGAGCTCTTGTTGTTTTGTTTACATTTCTTCGTTAGAAAAACAAAAGACATTCACTATTCTCTGCTGATGGCACATTTATTTGTGTGAATCAATTTCTAAATGACTGAGAGAGATTGAAAAAAAAATTGAATAATACGGGAAGCAGGGTTGCCACATCAATGTGAAGTCTCCGAACAAATTAAATTTGGGCCTTCAAAAGATTGCATCAATTTCGTTAAAAAAAATTATTTCGGAAAAATTTAGAAATTTTCCCAAAATCGTTAAAAATTGTTTAAAAATTCAATTTCCAATATTCGATGTGCGAAATGTGTGTAGATCAAACACCCATAATAACTTTGTTTTCTCAGACCAAACATTTTCTAGGGCCCTTTATATAATCTTCAGAATACACAAACCGACCCTAGTATTTTAAGCTATATTTCGTACCTGCAAAAATTTTTCAAATTAGGACTACGATTTTGTATAGCCCTAATATATTCCCTACGAAATCTTAATCCGAAAATGTAACGAGAACGAGAAAAAACAAGTAAAAAAACATTAAGTTTGGCCAGGCCGAATTTTTAATACCCTCCACCTTTGGAAACACTAGAAGCAATTATGACCCAAAAATACCAATTTTTATACATACACAAAAAATATCAATTTTTAGACATACATTAAATATTTCGCCAACGGAGCTAGAACTCATTATGACCAACAGATTCCAATCTTTAGAAAAATCCATGAAAAAATGTGGCAAAAATCATCAAAATACCGAATATCGGGAGGTACCGTTATATGGGGGATTTACCAAAGCTAGGACCTATTGATAAAATGTTTCGCCGCACGAACTAGGACCCATTATGACCTACAAATACCAATTTTAAGAAAAATTTGTGAACAAATGTGGTAAAAATCATCAAAATACCGAATATCGGAAGGTACCGTTATATGGGGACTATACCAGAACGTGGACCGATATATCACATTTTCAATACCAACCATCCTAGACATAATACAAATTATTCTGCTAAATGTTGACGCTCTACGTCAAATAATGTGGGCTGTATCGTGATTTCAACAGAGAGACAGACGGACAGGCTGTCTGACAGACGGATATCGTTAAATCGTCTTAGAATTTTATGCTGATTATAAATATATATACATTATGGGGTCTACGACTAATATTTAGGGATGTTATAAACGGAATGACAAAGTTAATATACCCTCCTTTCCAAGGTGGAGGGTATAAAAACAGCTAAGTTTGGCCGAACCGAGCTTTTAATACCCTCCACCATTCAGAATGAACTTGAAATATTTCAACAATTTCCGAAAAATACCGTTTTAAATGATTACCTTTATAGGGGGGGCTATACGAAAATTCGGACCTTCATAAGTATTTTTTGTCATAGGCTCTAGTACCCATTAAGATCTTCAAATACGAAATTTGAAACAATTAATGTCGCTAAAACCATCAAAATACCAAGATGCCGTTATATGGTGGCAAATGAAATGTTTTGGCATAGGCTGTAGTAACCATTACGAAGTGCAAATATGAAATTTGAAACAATTCTGTTGAATGATGTTGCCAAAATCATCAAAATACTGAATATCGAGAGGTCCCGTTATACGTGGACCTACTTGGCCCATTTACGAACTTAACCTGCCTACTGGCAAAATGCAAAATGTTAGCTTTTTATCTCATTTCGTTCGAAAGATAGCGTGATTACAACAGACAGACAGACGTCCGTCTGTCGTTATATCGTCTTAGAATTTTACGCTGATCCAGAATATATATACTTTGTAGGGCCTATCATGAATATTTCGAGAAGTTACAAACGGAATGACAAAGTTAATATACCCTCCTTTCCAAGGTGGAGGGTATAAAAATGTTGTAGAGGGGGAAGTTAGCCGTCTCTATTTAGGTTTCTTAACTTGCCAAACGCCGAAACACGTGTCTTCTATTTTGAACTCTACTCTTTAACTATAAATTTTAGTGTTGAACAGTGTAATAGTTCATAAAATTTAAATTACAGATCAATATATTATTCAAAATAACAATAAAAAATATTTTTTTTCTCATAAAAAATCGCATTTCAAGAATTGCAGATTTCCTTAAAATAAACATCCCTAACCACCATGCGTATTAGTAACGACAACATTCATACGCCCCAAAAACGCCGGCCTGCTTTTCATATTTCCCACATTCAATTTTCAAATCCGAAATCCCAGCTGCATTTAATTGCATAAATATTTCGAGAGCATTCTAACTGACCAATAAACTTAACTAAATCTCTTGGAAATATTCATAAATGAATTGTGGTCAACATTATAATCCAACAATAAATTAGTTTCCTAATCTCAATGCAATGTATTGGGAATTAGCATGGACCCCAAAGGAAATATGCCAACTGAAATGGAATACGTAAAATATACTTAAGGATATACAATGTG